AAAAAGTTTATTTGCTTTTAACATTTCTCCAAACCCCCAAAGCATGAGAAGTCATTACGGAGCACGGGCAGCAATAAACCATCTTATCTACCTGCTTCTTATAATCACACTGAAGAGTGTTTCTTCTCCTCCAGCTTCTTTTGATTATAGCTGTTATTTTAGACACTGTTTAGAACAGAAAAGATATTTTCATATATTTTCATGCAGAAACTAAAGTCTCTTTACAGCCACATCTTGTGAGAAAATCATAAACTTACACCCTGTTTTATTTTCATGTGCTTCTATAAAGGTCACAGTCATAACTCGCTCTTGATTTTGTAATACAAACAGATTAATCTCCTTCATTGTCAACAACCCTTGAAATATCCAAGAGCAAAGTCTTATTTCAACGTAGCTTATAAAGACATCCAATTTATAGTTATATGCAAGAAGCAAGCACGGAAGGTATCAAAGCTTGTCAATTGTGCCTGGATAATAAGCTGAACTACTTGCAAAATTTTGTCTAACACAAATTATGTTTTGAATAGTTACCACATGTAATAAGGCCTACGGCAGATTCTAATACAAGAGCCAGGAGATAACAAATGAAGTCATCAGAAGCAGATTCAAAACAAACACAAGGAGATTAGCTATACACAACGCGTAGAGGTAACTGGAATGCCTTCCTATGGCAAAAGCCTACATGGATTCAAACAGCCATCAGACGAGTGCTAGGAACAGAAGTCCATGAAATCTCTTAGTTCCAGCAGCTCGAGCTCAGGAACTACCTAAGTTGCAAGTCCCTGGGAACGGGACTGGATCGTGGGGAAGTACTGCTATGTAATCTTACACTTCTCCACAAGCAGTCCCTAGGAACCCGGGGCATGAGTGAAGGTGCGTGACGGCAGAGCCGTGAACTCAGGAAACTACAGAGTGCAGGGGAAGAGCCAGACAAACCACTTTTGCCATCACTGTGTTTCTCCTGTTCAGGGACCTTGGCACAGTGGCCCTGCCACACATCAAGAGCCCAGCGGTACTACAGAGGGACAAGCCACTGCATGACCCAGTAGGTGTCACAAGATAAAACAAACAGAGCAGCACAGCAAAGGTCCAATATGCTTTTAAGTGTCTAATATGCTTTTAAGTGGAGGTGAAATGGACAGATGAGTACCTACATTATGTATTTCCTATGTTAATAGCTGCGGCTAGTTACCTTTTAAATTCATCATGATAGAATTCAGATTTGCACGTCACCATCTCACTGGCCTGACTGTCATCACGACTTCTGACCCCGCCAAACACGTAAAGCTCAGATGCAACTCCACAGGCCACTGCACCAAATCTGAGAATCCAAATAAGAAAACAGGCAAAGTTGGATAACATCTCAACCATTCTACATATCCTTCTGAACTTTCTCCACTCTGTGCATCCTACATATTCAACAAAATTAGATGAGTCACGGATATTACTTCTAAGCCAGACCATGCAAAAGAACAGATCAGTAAAGCATTTATCTGTGGACGAAATTTTGAAATTCCAGTTGAACTGCAGTTTCTGGCTTTCAGTTTGCATCAGGGGAGTACTGCTTGTAACATCAGGATGCTTTTATAACTCTGACACTTTATTCAGCAACATCTTGGCATTACAGCAGCAGGCCATCATGATTCAGAAAGGCATGGTGAAGCTCATAGGGCTCTTTAACAGACATCTTAGGTATTCTTCAGAGAAACAAAGGCAACTTCCTCTTTTCAGAGGACCAGCGCTTCAGCATTAAAAAAATGCAGTACAAGTCATCAAGTAAACACTGATTACAATAACAATCAACTCCTTTTTAAAAAGTAAAGACAGCCTTAGAATACGCTCTGACTGTTTTAGAAGGTTCTGACCAAATATATTCTTGTAATCTAGATTTTTATTTCCATTGTCACCCACCTTCTCTCTTTTAGAGGACAGATTGCTGTCCATTGCTGAGTTCTAGGGTCATAACACTCCACAGATTCAAAGAGTTTTCCATAGGAGCCTCCACCCATTGCATAGATTTTCTTCTTCATAGCTGCATAGCAGCCAATCTTGAATGAGGGAGAAAAAAAAAAAACAGAATAACAATAAAAAAACCCCACTGAAGTTGCATACAATATCAAGAGCTCAAAACTAAAGAATCTTGCTTAACAGAGCGCTGCTAGAAAAATCTTGTCAGGAAGCCTAATCAAAATAAATAAAACACAGTCTAAGCAATACGGCAGAGAAGAGTCTTAATTAAGCTCATAATCATATCATAAATTGAGTTTTTAGCAAAGAATAATCTCTAAGCACAAGGGGAGAGGTGAGGGAGGACTAGTTCAAATTTCTTTACTGGGCTTCACTTCCAGGTCAAACAGAAGTAGGAGCATAAAACTGCTCCTTTTAACTGGCTAACCAATACAGGCATTACATTAGCAGTGACCACCCTGAACATTAGGCCATTTATTATCAAACCAAAGGGCAGAAAGCGTTGCAAAAGTGAGGCTGAAATACTGCTCGTATTGGGCAATGCTTTTACAGCTCAATTTGCACAACGTTACCTTCCGTTTAATTTCTCTTTATCATCTGCTCTGTGACAATTCTCCAAGAACACTGGCTGCATAAAAAGTTCATTTTCTCAGCATAAAATCAACTATATAGCTGTAAATTATTAGCTTTTTAAATGTTCACTTGTCCGCCACTGTAGATGCAACGTTTTCCCCTTAACATTTATTTTTGCTGCTGAAGAAGATGGTGAAGCAAACAAGACTCCTCCTGCGTCACTGTGAATGGCAGAAGCTGAACACGTGCCAAGAGAGGAATAAAAGTTTCTTCCCTCTGCCACTTTAGGGCTCAGCATTATAGACTGATCTGTTCAGGGACACACACACGCACCTCTTAAACTTCAGGAGGTTTTTTTTATTTCTAAAACTAGGGCAAGGGTAGGATGACGAGAAAGGGAGAAAGTGAGAGAGGGGCCCGGGTTCCCGCACCACGTGCCTCAACGCTGTCCATGACAACTCTCAGTAGCGGTTGTGTTTTGATGTAAAGCCGCTCTCCCTCATTTCAATTAGAGGAGTATTTGTTGCAGCTTTTACTTGAAACAAAGAGTCAAAATATACATTGGACTTAACTGTTTAACAATAAATAACACTATAACATACGATTCAGTTCTTACCTTTCTAACCATGGTCAAGTCTGGCTGCTTGGTCCAGGTCCGCTTATAAATGTCATAACTCTCCATAGAGATCAACTCCCTTTCACCATCCTCACCTCCCAGAATATACAGAATTCCATCAATCTCTACCACACCAAAATTATGTCGTGCCTAAGGAACAAAGTCAACATTGTACTGATTTATTTACAGTAGCAATTATGATTTATCATCTTTTTTCTCACACCTGTCTGCAGCATTACTTCTGAGACTGCCATTTTTTTTTAAAAACACAATACCTAGAATAACATTCTAATATTCTTTAACTAAAGAAAACAATATTCAAACATACAGTAAAACTAAAACAGACCATAGTCTAAAAATGGTGCTTAGCTGCATTTCAGTTTGCATAGTACTGGTCTACTAGATGAAGCTGCTGCTTTCAAAATTTTGGACCCATAATTCTGCAGAAAGGCAGAACTCCATTTTCTAGTGTAGGAGCACAGCTAACCTCACTCGCAACCGTATTTATAGCAAACAAAAAATAACGTATCATAACTACATCTGCAAGTTTTCTTCAAGTGCAATACAGGCCCATGCCAACAACAGCCTTTGCTGAAGAAAAATAAAGAACAATTTCTTAATAAAAAACCCTACACTGATTTCAGAAAATAAAACATAGGTATATTAAGGATACATGTTTACATATAACGAACTGTTACTTTTTGATTGGATGCAAATATGAAGAGAAAACATAAGCTCAAACCAAAATTAAATTCAAAGGACTGCACAAGCCAAGTTCTCTGTTCATTTCTGCACAGTCCAGTCCCTTCGTTCATGTAAGGAATTCTCTTGTGTCTAACACAGAAGAGAAATACATATATATATATATTTTTTTTTTATTAATAAAGACCAGTATACACAGAACATTAAGGATGGTATACTCAACACGTAACTGAAAATTCTGTAGTTCAGCTTTACAGCTAGTTCTTGCCCAATAGGTAATATTTTCTACATCCTATAGCCATTATCAGACCAAAAGTAACTATAAGAAATAAACAGAAGGCAGTCCGCACCATGATTTTGAACGTATAAAATGCAAATGACTGAAGGTTCAGAATAAAATTTTACAGAAGCAATTGAACATTTCGCCAAAGTGAAAAATTAAATCCCAAGAGTTAAGATACTGCTCTTGCCTCATTCATTGGCGGCAGGGAACTCCATGAATTGGTGTCTGGATCATACTTCTCTCCAGAGCTTAGCGTTGCCTTGCTTTCATCCTGACCACCAAGCACAAATAAAAACCCTTCTGTAAAAGAAAAGGCAATGTGATCTTAAAAACAGGATTCACACTCAGCAAGACTGCAAGACTGGTGAGTTGCATCTTGGAATTCATTAAGAGACTCAGACCGGCCACAGGTCAAACTCTGGACTGGAGGAGGTAAAGCACACGTCTTCAACTGTACTCCAGATAACCTTCAACAAATTCAGTGATGTAGCAACTAACTACAACTTACTTAAAACATGAAATGTTCCTGGAGACACAGATGTAGCAGACTCTTGCAAAACACGGAAGTTATTCTATAACACTCAGATGATGTGGATTATCATGTAAATAAAGCAATATTCTGGGCAGACAAAGGAGAAGCAAAAAATCACCCCGATGCCATTAATCTCGAAGAAAAAATTATTATAAAACGTATCTCAGATTTTGAGGCATTGGTAAGTTTCCATAGTATTGACTTTACAAACACAAAGTTCCCCTTTACCTGCTGACAATACTCCATGATTGATCCGCGGAATACTCATAGGAGCAAGTTCAATCCAGAGCTGTCTGTTGGGATCGTAAAGAGGACACATGCACCGCATCACTGAGGTGGGTTTCCGTGACCTGAATGCAGGGGTTAGGTGGGAAGAAAAAGAAAAAAAATTAACACACACAAACACAGACGTAAGTTTACTAGTTACTTGTTAGCAACTTTGTCTGAAATGCACATGACTTAATACACATTCACAAAATGTGACACTTTCATGATAAGGAGGAGTTTTAATTAAGTGTGCCCGCCAGGTCAAATGTGCATAAACTTAATTATGTACAGACTGGACACATAAAAAGCAGGTACACCTCATTCTTACTATGTGTGCCTGTAATATTTGTAAATGAGGAACTTTTAACAAACTAAAAAGCATTGATGCAGAGTATTAGTAATCTCTTCGTAAAACGATATACAAACTGAAGGGCAAAATTTTATTTGAATATTTTATGGCACTTCTATAAAGAGCAAACAAAGCGTGAAGTTCATTTAAACGTAGGACAAACCCTTCCCCTCTACCGCCTCTACTACCCCCTCTTCGGGGCATACGGAAGAAAAAAAATAATTATTCTGTGGAACGGGAATTTTCACCTGGCATCTCAGATGCACCAATACATACTTCTGTTTGGAACCACAGCTACTGTCAACAAAACAGTTCAAGCAAAGGACATGGTCATTATTTTTAGGATTTATTATAGATGGTTTTCCGATCTTCAGAAAAGTGTTTCACAAGCGTTCTGTTCTTATTTTGGGTAAAGTCTATTCAGTTAAAAAAATACTCAACACTTCCCAAACAGAATAGCATGTCCTACTATAAGTTTTTTTTAAATGAACCTCCCTCAACAAAAGATCTTAAGTATAAAATTGGCTTAGACCAATGACATCTAGGTGATATTTAAATGTATAAAGCAATAAGAAAGTTTAGTTTTTAAGATAAAAACTACATATTGAATTTCAGAAAAATCACCACAAGTCAACTATTTACTGTCAAATCAGTCAAAGGTATTTTAGGTGCATCTGACCAAAAAAAGTTCAAATGATAAAGCGATAAGCACATATACATTAGATGCACATATTCGCTTCACGTCGCATTTTCAGATGCGCTGTGAACACTAGCTGCTTATATTTTTACCAAATGTAACGGCCTGTACCGCCGCTCGATACTTACACCCTTTCTTCTCCCCCCACGGTCACTATACACTCAGAGTAACCCCTGGGCTTGAAGGAGGCCAGCATCGCCTCTCCCTGCTGCGGTGGCGTGAGGGGAATGTTATTGCATTCTTTGACAATCTCCCGTACCAGCGGTTCGCTCATCATCTGCTCACGTAAATATGTTGCATCTAAGCCTGAAACCCACACTGCTGACATAACATCCTTCATGTGAACCTACAGAAGGAGATAAACAGAAGAAAATTGCCAACACTTCACAAAGCAGCACTAACGCATGAAAACGTCTGCATGGATCGAAACTTGAAGAGTATTTTTGATATTCGGAAGTAATAATAAAATCTGCATCACAATGCTAAGAAAATAGAGCAAGTCTTTAAAGTTTCACTGGAGATGTACTACTTGCTTTCCTCCTACGAAAACAAGATGGCATTAAATGCCAAAAAAAGCAAAATTTTTACTTAATGTCTATTAGAAGGCAAAAATCACAAACACAGTAGATAATACATCCCAAACACAGCTTTCATCCTGCTAGTGCCACCCCCTCATCTGCATTTCCGGCAAAATTCAATTAATTCTGTGAATGAAAGCATAGTCCTGAAAGACATGCATCCCTTGTAAGTTCCCAGCAACTAGAATACACATAGTTATTTAAGTCATATTCAAAAAATAAACTCTTTGATATCCTTACCTTTCTTGATTCTGCATCGTGAGAAATCCACCTAATCACTGCTTCAAAGACGTATCTTTCATTTCCCACATTGAGCTTTTCCATTGACAGCACTTCTTTCAGTTTTTTGGGAGTCAGTTCCAAGAATTCCTCTGTGCTGCTGACATCTCGAAAGTGAGTTTCCAGATACTCTGAGGCAAGGTAGTGAACATGATGCAAACAATAGTGCAGTGCAAAGTCCCGAATACCAATACAGTTCTCAGCAGCTATACAACCTTCTAAAAACTCACAGCAGAGAGCTTTTAAATCTGTAAGCAGCAGGAGATCAGCTGCCTGTACCACATCTTGGATAGTTTCTTCATTTAGCCTGATCTGCAAGAATTAATTTAGAAGTTATAGCTACTATCACTCATCGCTACATGAGATGTCCACATTCATAACACTCATTCTCAGTGGCTGAAATAATTGAGCATTAATGCCAGTATAAAATTTACGAGAAATAGATGCAATTACTGCGCATTTATACATTAACAGAGGACTGGAAAGGCATTAACTTAACAGAAGGTATTTGCAGAATTTTGTGCCCAAATTGGACAGTATGGGGTCAGTAAGGAAGGATGCCCGATGTACTACACAATATGCAAATTCAGTGATGGGGTCTTAATCTCCACTGCTACCAACCCAGTTATCTTTTACAGTTCTAGAAGACTGTATGTTTTAAATTAGGTTACTGGAGACAGTCACAATTTTAAAACAAGCATTTGACATTAAATCTTTTAGAGGGTCCTCCCCCACTGCATCAGAACAGAGAAAGGGCTCCTGAAGTGTTTACCGTCACTTTTTCATACGCAGAGCCCGAGTGTGATTTACTGCTTTACAGAAAAAGTTTTAATCAACGTTTTAAAGCAAGATTCTCAACAGGTTTATCTTTCTGGATAGCAGTGGTAAAACTATTTTGCTGAAAAATTCCATTTCTATCTAGTTCTTCTTAATACCATACCTGCCCACTGAAGATGTAATCTAGTATCTCTTTCATGGTATCAACAGATATCCCTTCAAGTTCAATCTTGTATGTTGAGCCATCATCCTTTGGAGGATTATAGTTCAATTTTGTTCTGAGGAAGGGAAGGAAAAAAAAAGAAAAAAAAAAGAAAAGCCTAAAAAAAAGCTCATGACCTAGGCATAACATTCATTTCTTTAGAAAAGAGAGAGTAAGCAAGCTGCAGAGCACTGCAGCCGTAACAGGTATGTTAAAATCCTGCAATATAATTTGAAAATTCTCTCTCTTGATTTAGGACAAAAAGGCTGCATTTACAGTCTCTAATATTGCTCATCACATTTCCAGACTGAACAATTACATTAGCCTTACAAACTTCTCTTGGCACCAGAGAGTCAAAGTAATTTTTTCCTGGCTCGTTCATCACAGGCATTCATAAACTTCAATGAGAACTTAGTCACAGAGTACTGCTGACGGATGAAACGCAAGGATTTGCTTTGGTAATGATGAAAAACAATTCCCCCCTCCCCCCCTAAAACAACACTTTACCCCAAAAATCATTACAATGAGCAGATGTGATCAGAATCTATACTGGCAGCCCAGATACTGTGACTGCATTACTATTTTGTGTAGTTTATGATGTTATCTGCCTACCTGGCCACAACTGAGCTGCACACGCACATTTCTAGGAAACAGACTACATTCTGCTGGACCAAGCTTTAAATATTCATCTAAACCATTGGACACATTACTTTGAGCCATTTAAAAAAGACAGCAGGAACAGTTTGATGTTCTTGTGAACAGAATGAAGGAGAACTGGGGGGAAAGAGATGGGGAAACACTGCAGCAGCAGCAGCCTGGCCTTTCCATCCCGTCAGTACAGGCGCTTGTCCAGGAAGGAGAACTCCGAGCGTTCAGAGGAACGCTGCCCGCGATCCAGTAAAAACAGCCACTGGGGCTAAGACACGATAATTCTGACCACCTACTTTCACACTTTAAAGAACTAAGCATAAAAGGGGAAAAAAAAAAAAACCACACCTTAGTTTCACTGCCCGATTATATCACTACATATTTTTAAATAAAAGCCTTGGAAAATGTTTTCATATTCATTTAAATATATTTCTTACATATAATTAGTTTCTCAATGTGAAAAGTAGTGGCTTAGCTAGGCTGCAAATGTCTTAATTTGTCACTGCTGTCCGCTATCCTCACTCGCATTGAGCGATGACACAAATACGATTTACCTAAGAGCCAGATTCTGCTTCACTCACTCAGACTTGGGATAAATAGTTTCTCACAAAGCAAGATACCAGTCACATTAAATAATATCCTAGTCTATAGCAAGTGACTTTAAAGTGTGAATAATCACGGTAATTTCAGCCCTTAAGTCATATTTGTGGACCTGTTTTCTCATAGCATTTCTAAGCTGCAAAAACCCATCTCCAGTTATCCGGACTCTCAGATTTAATGCTATTCTGATTCAGGCATATGAATAAAATGCCCAAGTTAAGATTTTTCATTCTATATTTGTACAGGACCTAGTACAAGTTATACAAATAACATTACTAATTCAATTTCTGTTGCTGTTAAGTTGCTTATTTCCTAATGCTTGGAAGAAGATTAATTGTGTGTTCTCTAAAGAGTCTGTACGAGTTACAGTACACAGCACACGCTACAGAAACAGATCTGTGACTTGTCTGTTGAAAACCTCTAAGCTGAACAGCTAATACCGCACAACTTGTATCACAGCTTGCTCCGTCCTCCCCCAAGCGCTAGCGCACAGCATGTGGGATACACAGTTTTCATGCCTGCAAGCGCCAAACGAACCAAAGCGCACACAAAGCACGTGTGTGTTTTAAACTTTAACACTACTTTGATTTAAACAATGCGTCTTTACACAGATTTTTCAAGCCTATCCAGACAAAATACCTCAACTTCAAGTACGCTGATTATGGTTGAGTTTTGGGTTTCTCCACTTTTAACAGAGGCTACATCTCGTTTCCTGGAATGAAATTGCATTTTCTGTTCCTTAAACATAAACATTCTCGGAGTCCGCAGCATCCTTCTAGGAACCACCAGAGAAGAGAGACGGCGGGACGCGATATGCTCTGCTATGGCCAGACACCCAGCTGCGCCTGCAGAGGACCTGGGTATTTCAGTGCGTTGGGGGCTGTAAACCAGAGGCAAGGCGCAGAATAAACGTCATTGGCGCATGCCAACGCTACCGGGGAGATTGGTGTAAGGCCTGGCGCTGTTTATCATTAACTTTCATCTTAGCATCACCTATACACACCCAAGCTAAATCACCTCCTTGCACGGACTTTACACCTACACCTCCTAGAAACAAGCAAGTGTTGTTCAGGGTCTGGGGCCTAACCAGTTATCAGGCTAGATGCTCTAATTGCTGTGTATTAATTGAGGCCACAACTGTTTATCCGAAGGGGCGGGGGGGAGCACCTGATGGCAACCAACACACACAAACACCTAGCAGGAAAAAACCAAACCAAAATAAACACACCTTAGGAACATCATTCTTTTCTTCCTACAAGAAAGCATACAAATCCCAGGAACTCCATAGTTACTCGTAGACAAATATTCACGTTATACAAGCACATCTTGGTTAGTTTCAAACTCAACTTTGCTCCTATGACCTGTCCTGAGGAATGGCAGCTACCTCACCCTATCGCTCATACATCTTTTAACTTTTCGATTAGTAAGTTCCCAGGTTCTCCCTTTGGATACAGAGATTTCCAGACCCCGGCGCGAGAACCACTTCCCAAGGGCAGCTGGAGGACAGCTACACTGCAAGACAGCTACAGGCTGACGGGAGGAGAGAAGAAAAAACAAAACAAAAAGGTGAGAAAAAAAAGTTGTTATAACCAGGTTTAGGGCTGAGAAAGGTTTAAAAAAGTTAAGAAAAATTAAGAGAAAAATCACGAGTCCAGAGTGGAAGTGTTTGGTAAGAAACCAGGAGGAGGAGGAGGAGGAGGAAGGAGGGGGGATGTAAGGAAAGAAAGGAGAAACCGCCTCTTGCGTCATGCGGTATCAGCTGCCATCGGCACCCACTTCCACACCTCACTAGCAAATTGAAGTTTGGGTATCCTTGTCGTAATACATGCAACGGAGAAGAAAGTTTCCAAACGTGTGCGTTCCCAGTTCAGCTGAAACAGGAGCGGCCAGCAGGCCATGAAAAGCTCCTTTAACCATGGGTCTCCAGCAAATTTCACTTTACAAGAGAAGTTCCAAACTTCAACAGAGGTTTTCCAACCTCCCTTCCCTCCCAGAAAAGGGCATTT